CACTGACGTTTATTCAAAGATGAAATGTTTTCTGTGACTAAACGTTGTTGTGTATTTTGCTGACGAGGGCAGGTTTTCAACGTGACAGGACAGAAATCATTAAACCAGATCTGGCAGCACTGGTCAGACGCCCTCCTGTCCCCGTCCTCTGTCCCCCCGTGCGGCGTCGTACCCATGGTGGCGGAGAAGATGACGATGCCGAGGACGTTCATCTGTTGGCTCGTCCCGGGGCTTGTCTTGTAGTGGACCTCGGGGGCCGGCGTCAGCTCCAGGTACACGGTGCGTCCACCGGGGGCGCTCTCGTCCGGGATCACGTACACGAAGCTGGGCGGCACCGTCCGCGTCGGCACTTTGAGGATGGGCACCAGGTCCGTCTTGTACTGGAGACGGAGAAGAGCAGCGTTACCACGGCGACCGGGGACACGGTTTAAAGATACTGTCAGTAACATCGCGCCGGGGGGTTCTACATGGATGTCTACAGCGAGATATTGTTGAGCAGCTGTAATTTAACGTACGTGCTACAGTGTAATGCCCTACGGTGGAACATTTCAGGCAAAGCAATAAGATCTCCAAGGAAACCGAACCACCAGAAAAGTGACATTATTAAGTTATTTAAAGGTGCAATGTGTTGTTTCTTTGTCTATAATGTTCCACAGTGTGGCATTAAACCTTTCTATCTCCATGGAGACCAAAAAAAAAACAAGTTCCAGGTCAGATCTGTGGAGAGGCGACCCCGCTCACAGTCAGAAGGTCTTGATTTTGTTTTTGGAGGTATTTATGAGCTATAAAAAAAAAAAAAACACCTGTAACTGAATAAATGTAAAGTCGAGCTGTTTAAAGTGACACTGTGGAACATTCCAGACAGAGCACTGACGTCTCTATAGAAACAAGCAGGTGACGGAGCCCCACAGACTTCCATGTTTTTTTTCTTGTCAAAACATAAATGTCATAACATCTCAGCTTTGATAGATTTTTAAAATATTATTTACAATTTTAACATGAAAGGACAGAGTGAGCAGATTTTCAAAATAAAATCCTCAGACGTCCCTGGTTCGTGGTGGTTGGTAATAATAAAACTGTGAAACGTGTGGAATTATTAGAGGTGTAACGATATCCAAATCTCTCGCTACGATATTTTCACAATGTACATCTCACGGTACAATATTTATTGCGATATTTTATGGCTAACAAAACTGTTAATGTGCTACTTTTCCCTCTTAAAACGCCTTGACAAGATTTAATCCAAAGAACTAAGAGTTAAAAGTATTAGAACTGTTATTTCTTCTTGTCGTCTGCGCTGAAATGAAGCAAAGGATCATGGGAAATGTAGTTCCCTCTGTGTTTTTTTGCCGTTGTTCATTTAAACAAAGAGACTTGCGATTCGATATTTTGTGATGGTCCACGATATTATTGTGAGAACTTTGACGATACGATATCATGATATTTTGATTACTTATTGTTACATTCCTAGTAATTAAGGAAAACTGTTCTGCACTTGGCTCTAATGTGAGTCAGTTTAGTCACATTTTCTTTGTGTTTTGGTCATTTTTTAAGCAGATTTTCTGTATTTTACCAAAACAAAAGTCAGTTTATGTTTCTCTTCACTGTTGCAGGATCAAATTGATCAAAGATAGACACACCTGGGACATTTCTTGTATAAACTTGTACAAATCACTGGTTTTGTATAAATCTGCAGGGACAGGGGACACAGGCTCAAAACTGGGACTGTCCCGGGTAAGCAGGGACGTCTGGACACACTATGAAAGCAGCTCAACAGTGACGTCCACCCTGCGCTTCTGGAACATTACTTTAACATTTATTTTTCCCCACAGACTTTCAAAAAAATATTGAAATCTCAGCTCTGTGGTGATTTTATAAACTCTAGAGTGATCAAAGTATTTCAAAGAATCTTGCGTTTTCAAACAGCTGTTATGGACACTGGTTTGAATATACCTGTTTAGTCTCAGCAATGTCTTTAAACTCTTAATTTGAGTGTCCAGACGTCCCTGTTTCGCCGGGACAGTCCCAGTTTTGAGCCTGTGTCCCCTGTTCCAGCAGATTTATACAAAAACACCGATTTGTCCCAGTTTTATACAAGAAATGTCCCAGTGTCTCTATTTTTGACCAATCTGATCATGTCAACAGTAAAGAGAGAAACATAAACTGACATTTGTTTTGGTAAAATACAGAAAATCTGCTTAAAAAACGACAAACACAAAGAAAATGTGACTGTACTGACTCACATTAGAGCTGAGTGTAGAACAATATTCCTTAATCACACACTCGATTCACAGTTTTATTATTACCAACCACCACAAACTGAGAGTGTCCCAGTTTTTTATTTTGAAATTCTAGTCACCCCGCTCTTTTGAATGTGAATATTTGAAGTTTTCGAAACGTCTGTGGGGAAAATGAATAGAACATTTTCTCCTGGAGCAGAGGAAATGAAAATACGTCACCTGCTGAAACGTGGCCTCCACCAGGTTTGAGGGAACCATGTTTCTGTAGAAAAAACAAAGGCAAAAATGAACAGAGATTCTTCTCTTCTGCTTCTCAAACCCTCTCCTCCTCTGCTCCTCTGCATCCACTGACACAAAAAACAATATCTATCTAAATTAAAATTATATTAAGAACATTTGACTTTATTTGAGATTCAAAACTTGACAAGTAAAATGATCTGCTGAAATGAGTGTTTTTCTTAATTCAAGCAACATTGAATTTTGTTTATTTTAAGTGAATAAAGTTGTTGTTTTTCTTATTTTAAGTGCAGTCAGATGTATTTTCATATTTAAGTACAAAAAGTCTTGTTCTACTTGCAGATCGTTTTACTTGTGAAGTGAAATTAACTCAAATCATGATAAAACTTTTTTTAATTCAAGTCGTCTTAACTTGCATAGATTTTGTTTTGTTTTTTGCAGTGCGTCACAGTGTAAACACAGATCACATGACATGAGGTCAGAGGTCATGGGCTCAGTGTGTGGGGGGGCGGGGCCTGGGCGTGTCTGTGGGCGGGGCCTGTGCACGAGACTCCCACGTGCACGAGTCAAAGATCAAAGCTGATCTGTGACTCATCCCGGGAGTTAACTAAAAATAAACTCCAAATACACAGATCAGCGGCTCAAGGGATCAGAGACCAGGACTGAACCAGGACTAAAACAGGACTGAACCGGGACTGAACCGGGACTAAAACGGGACTGAACCGGGACTGAACCGGGACTAAAACGGGACTGAACCGGGACTAAAACGGGACTGAACCGGGACTGAACCGGGACTAAAACAGGACTGAACCGAGACTGAACCGGGACTAAAACAGGACTGAACCGGGACTGAACCGGGACTAAAACAGGACTGAACCGGGACTGAACCGGGACTAAAACAGGACTGAACCGGGACTGACCCGGAACTAAAACAGGACTGAACCGGGACTGAACCGGGACTAAAACAGGACTGAACCGGGACTGAACCGGGAATAAAACAGGACTGAACCAAATATACACAATCACATCTGCAGATTTAATTTTCATATACAAAGTTTACCAACACTTAAGGAGTTTGTGAAAATAAATTCAAGCCGGACATGATCAGGTTCTAGAGGAAGAACACGGAGCTGCTCGTCCTCGAGAACTCTCAACACTGCAGCATTTTCTAAAGATTTAAAACACACACACACACACACACACACACACACACACACACACACACACACACAGTGCATAGTCCAGTCCTGGGCCTTGTCCACCTCTGGGGCCACATCCGTCTCTTTGTTTGTCTCTGATCGACTCGTTTAAGTTCATGTGGAATCATAAAATAAACTTATTTTATAATTTGACCTCATGTCTGGACTAAAGCTGCATTGTTTTTATTTTAGAGGAGTTTTTAACTGATATTTTTTGTTCAGCAGTTTCACTTTTTCATTGTTTAGTCTCATAAACTCTTCAGTCTGAGCAGCTCGTCACAACTATGAGATTTTCTGGTTTTTATACAGAAATAAAATGAATATTCTGCAGAATTGAGTTCAGTATTTTGGTTCTAGAATATTTTCTGTTTCTCGTGTGGCCCCATGGGAAAAAGATCTGCCCACTAATTGGCGTAAGAGTGTTTGCCAAAGCACCACAAAAAAATCAGACTCATGAATCCTCGCAGAAATATCCAACCAAAGTGCACGGAATGAGGAAAGACCAGAAAGACTGAAGCCATCATGAACAGAACTCTTCGAAATCTCTCTCTCTGTCTCTCTCCCTCGGTTCCACAAGACTGAGTCTTCAGGGAGAAATTTTCACTTTAAAATTCTTATTTAAAGTTCCTAGTAAATTCTCTTGTGCAATTATTTGTACTTTAGTACAGTGATTCTTAACCATAGGGCCAGGACCACCTCCTTGAGGGCCCCACAATTAGTACAATATAATATATTTAATATGAGATAGGGCCCCACTTTGTTTAGAAAAAGTTGGGCCCCGAGACTAAAAAGGTTAAGAACCTCTGTTTTAGTTCATTATTTACCAAAGAAATGTGCACAGTGTGACTCACAGGCGTCTACATGAAATAATAATAAATAATAAAAATCCAAAGTTCATTTTTAACTTTCATGTTGATGCATTTGTTTTGAAAATAAAGCCACATCGGCCATAATCTGTACAAATTTAAATAAAATTATTATTAAATAAAATAATAAAATAAGAATGTCTAAACAGGATTAGGGCTGTAACAAGTGAATAATTAATGGTCATTAATTGATTAGTGAGATAATCTTCCTCTAATTCACTAACAGAATAATCACAGTTTTTGGACGAAACCCAGAGACGAACTTCAGGAGAAAAACACAAACAGAAAACGAAGAAATGTAAATATTCCACCAGGATCATAAACAACTAACCGATTAATCGTAAAGATAATGGATATGTTCATCGATTAATCGAGCAAAATAATGATCAGTTTCAGCATCAGGACTGAACCAGGACTAAACTAGGACTCAAGCAGGACTCAACCAGAACTCAAGTAAGACTCAACCAGAACTTAAGTTGGACTGAACCAGGACTGAACCAGAACTCAACCAGAACTCAACCGTGACTCAAGTGGGACTGAACCAGAATTCAACCAGGACTCAACCAGGACTCAAGCAGTACTCAAAGAGGACTAAACCAAAACTCGGGCAGGACTTAAGTAGGACTGTACCAGGATTTAACCAGGACTGAACCGGGATTAAACCAGCACTCACGCAGGACTCAGGTCAGACTTAACAAGGATTTAACCAGGACTGAACCAAGACTGAACCAGGACTGAACCAGGACTGAACCAGGACTGAACCAGGACTAAACCAGGACTGAACCAGGACTGAACCAGGACTGAACCAGGACTGAACCAGGTCTGGGGTCTGGAGAAGTCGGTCAGTGAAAGTTGAAATCTCCACGACCACGACGAGGTCTGCGGAGGACGGGAGGGCATCTGACGTACCTGATGAGGTCGAGCAGGGCGTCGGCGGAGGTCATCACGGGTCCTCCCCCGAGCCGGTTACTCTCCATGTCGGTGCCCACGCCCGGTTTGACGATGAGGACGAGGACGATGCCCACGACGACGGCGATGAAGGTCGTCCACAGGTAATAGGTGACGGTGAGGACGCCCATCCTGCAGCAGGCTTTAGACTCCATCGACGACAGGCCCGACATCAGACTGAAACACACAAGAGACCAGGTCTAAACCAGGTCTAAACCAGGTCTAAACCAGGTCTGAACCAGGTCTGAACCAGGTCTAAACCAGGTCTAAACCAGGTCTAAACCAGGTCTAAACCAGGTCTAAACCAGGTCTAAACCAGGTCTAAACCAGGTCTGAACCAGGTCTAAACCAGGTCTAAACCAGGTCTGAACCAGGTCTGAAACCAGGTCTAAACCAGGTCTAAACCAGGTCTGAACCAGGTCTAAACCAGGTCTAAAACCAGGTCTAAACCAGGTCTGAACCAGGTCTAAACCAGGTCTGAACCAGGTCTAAACCAGGTCTAAACCAGGTCTGAACCAGGTCTGAACCAGGTCTAAACCAGGTCTAAACCAGGTCTGAACCAGGTCTGAACCAGGACTAAACCAGGACTAAACCAGGACTAAACCAGGTCTAAACCAGGTCTAAACCAGGTCTGAACCAGGTCTGAACCAGGTCTAAACCAGGTCTAAACCAGGTCTAAACCAGGTCTGAACCAGGTCTAAACCAGGTCTAAACCAGGTCTGAACCAGGTCTGAACCAGGACTAAACCAGGACTAAACCAGGACTAAACCAGGTCTAAACCAGGTCTAAACCAGGTCTGAACCAGGTCTAAACCAGGTCTGAACCAGGTCTAAACCAGGTCTGAACCAGGTCTGAACCAGGTCTAAACCAGGTCTGAACCAGGTCTAAACCAGGTCTAAACCAGGTAAACCAGGTCTGAACCAGGTCTAAACCAGGTCTAAACCAGGTCTAAACCAGGTCTAAACCAGGTCTAAACCAGGTCTGAACCAGGTCTAAACCAGGTCTAAACCAGGTCTGAACCAGGTCTGAACCAGGACTAAACCAGGACTAAACCAGGACTAAACCAGGTCTAAACCAGGTCTAAACCAGGTCTGAACCAGGTCTGAACCAGGTCTGAACCAGGTCTAAACCAGGTCTAAACCAGGTCTGAACCAGGTCTAAACCAGGTCTAAACCAGGTCTGAACCAGGTCTAAACCAGGACTAAACCAGGACTAAACCAGGACTAAACCAGGTCTAAACCAGGTCTAAACCAGGTCTAAACCAGGTCTAAACCAGGTCTGAACCAGGTCTGAACCAGGTCTGAACCAGGTCTAAACCAGGTCTGAACCAGGTCTAAACCAGGTCTAAACCAGGTCTGAACCAGGTCTAAACCAGGTCTAAACCAGGTCTAAACCAGGTCTGAACCAGGTCTGAACCAGGTCTAAACCAGGTCTAAACCAGGTCTAAACCAGGTCTGAACCAGGTCTTAAACCAGGTCTAAACCAGGTCTGAACCAGGTCTAAACCAGGTCTAAACCAGGTCTAAACCAGATCTGAACCAGGTCTAAACCAGGTCTAAACCAGGTCTAAAACAGGTCTAAACCAGATCTGAACCAGGTCTAAACCAGGTCTAAACCAGGTCTAAACCAGGTCTAAACCAGGTCTAAACCAGGACTAAACTAGGACTGAACCAGGACTAAACCAGGTCTAAACCAGGTCTAAACCAGATCTGAACCAGGTCTAAACCAGGTCTAAACCAGGTCTAAACCAGGTCTAAACCAGGACTAAACCAGGCCTAAACTAGGTCTAAACCAGGTCTAAACCAGGTCTAAACCAGGTCTAAACCAGGACTAAACTAGGACTGAACCAGGACTAAACCAGGTCTAAACCAGGTCTAAACCAGATCTGAACCAGGTCTAAATCAGGACTAAACCAGGTCTAAACCAGGTCTAAACCAGGACTAAACTAGGACTGAACCAGGACTAAACCAGGTCTAAACCAGGTCTAAACCAGATCTGAACCAGGTCTAAA